ACAACTCCGTTCACGCCAGGTTCACCTGCTCAGTCACCAGCAAGCCCCGCGACAGCACAAGTTCCACCGTGCTGCCCACAAAGCTCACGTCTCCCGAGCAGTCCTCCGTACCCGCGCCCGTAATCGTACACGTCACGCTCCCAGACTCCACCGACATCGTCCATCCAACGTCGTCCCGGTACACAACATCGTACGCTGGCGCATCAGACACCACCGCGTGGTCAATCGTCGCCGTAAACGCATACACGTCGCCCGCATCCACAGACGCGCCATCGTTGCCCACCGGCAGTGTTGTCGTGCGCGACACATTCAGCTCCGGCTCAACTACCGTCACCTGATCGCTTTCGACTACATTAGAGCCACCGAAAGTTGTGGACGCTTGAAGCACTGCTTGATGTCCTCGGCTTGTATCAAGCGCTGCTTCATCAAAGCGGCCCGTTACGTTTAGAATGATGCTTGCGGTAGAAGCGAATGTACAGCTTCCAAAGTCAAAGCGTATGGCTTCGTTGGCAACCAGCACACTGGCATCATCAAGCTCGTTGAGGTTGGTTGTGGTTATCTGCGCGTCGATGCTGGCCACAATAGCTGAATCAACCTTGAACGTCGCTGTTTGTCCAATGTTGTTGTTGTAGGTAATATCTGATATTACGTTGTAAGTGCCCGTACTTCCTTCCAGAGTGAGCATGAAGCGCACGGACTCGCCGACTGCAAGGTCGGGCAAGGTCGTTGCAGCCAATCCTTGCTCATGTTTGGAAATGGTGACGAGTTGGGCGCCTGCAGTTGTATCGAAAGGGACGACGTGTCAGTCGCGTTGAAGTCGCAGGAACGAGATACCTTTTATGAAGCTGCCCAAGATACTCAAAAGGCAAAAACTACGCTCAAACGTACCGACTTGTGCCACAAAGAGGCATAGGGCAAGCAGAAGCGACGCCAGCGCCGCCATGTTTGGGGAGCTTGAGCCAGCAAGCTGCCTACTAGTTTGAATGTGCGTCTAACTTGAAGTGCTTTTTAAAAAACGAGCAAGTCAACTGGAAATCACCTTGCCCCTTGGCAGGCACAGCCTGGGGGGCTGGGAAAAGGAACCACACTCCTCAAGCACTGCTGATGAATAGCAAATCAGGCAATCAAACGTGGAATGGAATTTTCTAATCATAGCATGTCGTGTGCAAAAGAAAAAAAAAGCGTCCGTGAGCGAGACAAGCAATTTCATTGTGAAAAGCCAAGCTGGTGATGGGGTGTGTCTGTGCGCATGCTTGATATACACCCATGTGCACCCATGCATGCAGATCGGACTGAGGAGATGCACCTTGAAAACAGATTAAGAATCGGAGCAGCAGACCAACTGCGAGCCGCAACCGCAATCGGGCTCGGCTCGCCGTGGGCGCCCTGAAAGCAGCCTCTTGACGCTCCTCCACCTATGGGTTTTCATCCGGTCATGCCAAGCTACACGAATCAGCGGTTCCAATAAATGCCAGACAGCCAAAAAGCCATGCGAAGACCGGACTACCCAAACAGCAACAAAGCACAAGCCAAGCGCAGCACGACACGAAGCAACGTCCCGTGACGCGAGCGCCTGCTTGCCCGTCCTCCGTTCCACCTCCCCCATGACATCGCCTGACGATATCATACACCCTTCCCTCTCAGCCACCAAGCACTACCCACACACAGTCCAAACCCCAACCCCAACCCCCAGCCTCACCACCGTGCAGCGTGCCACCAGCCCACCGGCTGCCATATGATACCAACCAACAGGCGTCAGTCGAACGTACCCCTTGCACTCACACACACACACACTTGTCGCTTGTGTGTCTCTCTCTATAAAATAGAGAACAAAAGAGTCAAAAGTCAACCTCTCTCTCTCTCTCTCTCTCTCTCTCTCTCTCTCTCTCTCTCTCTCTCTCTCTCTCTCTCTTTC